TTGTTGTCTTCCTCTTCTTCTTTCTGCTCTAATCTAAATATTTCTGCTAATTTTATTGGTCTGAATCACATCTTGGTATCAGAGTAGGTCCTCCTTTGTTTTCTCCTTTGTTTTCTTTTTTTCCCATACACTTTTTTTTCTAACTGAAAGGTGTATGGAGAGATAAATTGCTGATCAATCAGAGATCTTGTTTGCCTAGTTGGTAGAGGGTTTGGAGAGTCAGAAGCTGGCCAAAGATTGCCAAGAAAGTGGGATTGCAAATTTTTTTCCTAAAGCCCTAGCCGACTAGAGAGTTTCCAGTTACGGGTTGAAGAGGCTGTTTGGGTGTGGCGCTCAAGGTTTGGAGGGTTCCTTTTTATCTCCAAAAATGGGCGGCTACAGTTGGAAGTGGTTTGGATTGCTCTGGTTTGAGCGGTTACCTCTTCTCTTTTTCTTCTCGAAGGCCAGGTACGGTGTGACCCTAGTTTTGGGACTTTTGAGTGTTTGACTGATCTTAGTTGGGTCTATAAAGGTTGAAAACATTGTTTTGTGATTTTCGTTTGATTAATGGAGCAATCTGGAAGTGAGATGAAGCAGATCCCAGTGCTAGGGGTTGGTCCCGTAGATTCCATTTTGACAGGAGTGACTACAATTAAACTTGACAGAACAAATTACCTTGCTTGGGCACAATATATTAAGATCCATGTTTGTAGTAGAGGTAAACTAGGGTTTCTCACGGGTAGTAAGGTGATGCCGGAAGAGACTGATCCTACATATGAGAAATGGATGCAGGATAACTACACAGTTATTGGGTGGTTGGTAAATTCTATGCAGCCCCACATAAGTCAACACTATCTTTGAATGATTTCAGCCAAGGAGATTTGGGATAGTGTTACAGAAACATACTCTCAGAAATTAAATGTTGCAAGGGCCTACACATTGAAGAATGATGTGAAAAATTTAAAACAGGGGGAGAAGAGTGTGGTAGTCTACTATTTGATGTTGAAGTTATTATGGCAGGAGATAGATGTTATGGAAGCATTCGTAAGGGAAAGCACCAAAGATGTAGAAATTTTCAGAAAATTTGTGGAAAGAAACAGAGTGTTTGAATTCCTTATAGGACTCAATCCTGAATTTGATATTACAAGGAAAAATATTCTGGCCAAGGATGAAGTGTCACTTGCTCGGGCATATTCTATTGTGAGCAGTGAAGAGAGCAAGAGACAGGTACAACTACAGACCCCACCTCCCCCAGAACATTTTGCACATGCTGGATTAAAATCAAAGGGGGTAAATGAAAATAAGGAGGTGATATGTGAATATTGCAAGAAGCCGAACATACGAAGGATTCTTGTTGGAAACTTCATCTAGATCTTCTTCCAGAAAGGTTTCAGAACAACAATTTTAAAAAGGGTGGTCAGTCTAGAAAGCCCAAGAATGCAAATGTTGCCTGGTAAGGGAGTGTTCCAGAGACTGGTTGGGAAGTTATTATACCTTTGTATGACTCGGCCAGATATTTCTTATGCAGTTAGTGTAATTAGCCAGTTTATGTATTCACCCGCAGCTACTGAGAGGGTTCTATGCTACCTAAAAGGGACTCTAGGGAAAGGTATCTTGTTTGCTAAGCATGGACACATGAATCTAGAAGCATACACTGATGTTGACTCGGCCGGATGTATTGATGATAGGAGGTCCACTTCAGGTTATTGTGCTATGATAGCAGGGAGCATTGTATCATGGAGTAAGAAGTAGTCTGTAGTGGGAAGATCCTCAGCTGAAGCGGAGTACAGGGCAATGGCACATGGAGTTTCTGAGCTTTTGTGGTTGAGATCACTTTTAGAAGCACTGAGTATAGACTCTGAGAAGCCAATGATGTTATATTGTGACAACCAGGCTGCTATCAACATTGCACATAATCCCGTTCAACATGACAGAACTAAGCACATTGAAGTTGACAGGAATTTTATACAAGAGAGAGTTGCCTCCAGAGAAGTTTGCCTACCATTTGTTGCTTGTGAAGAATAGTTGGCTGATGTTTTGACAAAAGGTGTTCCTAAAGGAAAGTTGGTTCATTATATAAACAAGCTGGGCATGATTGATATCTATGCTCAGCTTGAGGGGGAATGTAGAGAGACTGGGCCGAATGGGCCCTAGTCCTTTAGTGTCATTTTTATTAGTTCCTCCTTGTTATGTTTTCTAATTAGGCCTTCTTTCTTTATGGGCATTTAGCTTCAGTTTTGTTTTTTAAGTGCATTACTGATGTGAATGCCTACTTAAGGGCCTCCTTGTAAATTATGTAACTTAAGTAAGTTGTTAAGGGCCCGCGAATAGGATCTTGTCACAGGTCGGTTAGCAGGGAAAACTTCTTGTTTTCCCTTGTTTCTCCCTTTTCTCGAGGAACCTATCTTTAGCGTCTTTATGGTGATTTGTTAAAGAGATCACCAACTCTCCTCTGCTCTTTCTTGACTGAAATTATCGATAGTTTTATTGAATAACATCTGCTCCATTAAATAGGAATTACAAGAGTCCTTCTTAAGGAAACTTTCTAAAAAAGAACTTTCTAAAAACAGTAAGAAACTTTCTAAAAAGAGACTTTCTAAAAAAACATTAGGAAACTTTCTAAAAGGAAACTTTCTAAAAAAACATTAAGAAACTTTCTAAAAGACAGGAAATAATAATGCTACTGCCTAATTAATAGGAACACTGAATTTGGCTAAGAGATAAGATAGGAACATTGAATCTAGCTAAGAGATAAGATAGGAACACTGAATCTAGCTAAGAGATAAGATAAGATAGGAACACTGAATCTAACGCCCATTAYTGTTGCTGTCTGCGGCTGTATTCCTTTCCAACAAAAGCATCCACAATATTACTCCCCTCCTGGACTAAGAGCTTGTCCTCAAGCTCGAATTCAGGATAGGTGTCTTGAAACACAGTCATAGGAATCCAGGTAGCTTCAGCCAATGGTAAGCTGGCCCATTCCACCAAAACCTTAACAACACCTCGATTAATTCTGGAATGAACAATAGACTGAGGTTGGGGAATGATTTTGCCCTCCTGGATCGGGTTCCAATGAAGAGGGTTCATCCTCATCTTCCTCTTGTTCCACTAGGAGGCAGAAAAGTCTCATGCACTTGTCCTGCTGAGTAAAGTTCATCACAATTAAAACACTGTCCCCTCGCCCTGCATTCCGCCATCTCAGCCCTGGACAAGCGCTTAATAGGGGGTGCAACAACGCTACTTCCCACACTGGATGCCGATCTGGAATTGTTGTTCGTCTGTGGTTTCTGTTCTTGGCTGGATGCTGAAGATGGAGCCATTCCGAGTGGTTTTGGGGCTGCCCATGTTGTTTGAGGCTACCCTATACTGATACTTCCGCGGTTGAGTTGCAATTTGCGTTCAAAAGCGTGAGCTAAATTCATAGCAGTAACCAGATTGGGGGGATTTTGCATCTCCACATCCACCCTCAAAGTTTTCGCTAACCCCGCGGTGAACATGTCAACCTGTTGGTCTGGTCGTACTGAAGATGCTCTTGTAAGGAGGGTCTGAAACTGACGCTGATACTCAGCCACAGTTCCAGTCTGTTTGAGGTTGATTAGTTCGCCTAATGGATTGCTTGTTAATGGGGGCCCAAATTTGAGAAGGCAGTAGGATTTGAATTGGGTCCAACTGAGCCCAGGTTCCTCCTGCTCCAATTTGTAAAACCAGAGCTGCGCCTCCTCTGTCATGTGGAATGCGGCTAAGCCTACCTTGTCCCTGTCCTCTGTTCGTTGGTTGCGGAAGAACTGCTCACATCTGTACAGCCATCCCAAAGGATCTCCAGTTCCATTATAGGAAGGAAATTCCAGCCTGCTATATTTGGGAACGATCGCGGTTCCCTGGGCAACGACCTGCTGCTCACCGGGCGATTCTGCCATGTCTGGTCGGTGGCCGTCTGTGGTTGCAGCCCCTTCTGAACTCTTGTCCTTTCTGGAAAAATATAACTCCATCAAGCGCCTCAATTCTCGGACATCGTCCTTGATCTTGCGCACCTCCTTGCTGTTTTCCACGAGTTTGTGCTCCAGATCATGAACCCTAGTCTTCAATTGCTCAAAGTCACCCATGACGCCCTGCTCTGATACCAAATTGTTAAGGGCCCACGAATAGGATCTCGTCACAGGTTGGTTAACGGGGAAAACTTCTTGTTTTCCCTTGTTTCTCCCTTTTCTCGAGGAACCTATCTTTAGCGCCTTTATGGTGATTTGTTAAAGAGATCACTGACTCTCCTCTGCTCTTTCTTGACTGAAATTATTGATAGTTTTATTGAATAACATCTGCTCCTTTAAATAGGAATTACAAGAGTCCTTCTTAAGGAAACTTTCTAAAAAAGAACTTTCTAAAAACATTAAGAAACTTTCTAAAAAGAGACTTTCTAAAAAAACATTAGGAAACTTTCTAAAAGGAAACTTTCTAAAAACAACATTAAGAAACTTTCTAAAAGACATAGGAAATAATAATGCTACTGCCTAATTAATAGGAACACTGAATTTGGCTAAGAGATAAGATAGGAACACTGAATCTAGCTAAGAGATAAGATAGGAACACTGAATCTAGTTAAGAGATAAGATAAGATAGGAGCACTGAATCTAACGCCCATTACTGCTGCTGTCTGCGGCTGTATTCCTTTCCAACAAAAGCATCCACAATATAAGTTTAATAAAAAGATTAGAGTAGGGGAAAGAGGAGATTATTGAACTCCTCCTTTCTTTCTCCTTTCTTCTCCATTTTTCCTTCTTCTTCTTATTGTCTTCCTCTTTTTCCTTCCTTTTTTCTGCCCTAATCTAAATATTTCTGCTAATTTTATTGGTCTGAATCACATCTGATATAATGCTGTTTTTCAGTTGAAGAATCTCTCCAATGGTACTCATAATTGATAATTATATGTTGACTAACAAAGTGATCATCAATTTGTTTAGTCTGTAGATTTTAAAAATTTATCAAATTTTCAATTTATATGTGATGCTGTCTGCTCTATTTTTCAGGTCCCATCAACAATGTTCTTGTTGTTAGACGACCCCTCTACTCTAATTTTCAGACATCAGCAAATTCACATGCTTCCTTATCTAGAAGGCATGTTCCACTGTTGCCACCACCACTGAGTAAATATGTAAACTCGACAGATGAAATTGTTGATTCAGGGGCTATTACTGTACCTCAGACACCCAGCAGTGACATAATGGATGCTCCATATCTCAGTTCTCATGTGCTGACGAAGCAAATCAGTGAACTTCAGGTTTTCTTTATTTTCTGATCATAATGTTCTTGAATCCTTTGTTATTCATAAAAAAAAATGTTGAATCATTTCATTAATGCAATATGTAGATACTAAAATGATTCTACATTTCATTTAGTTGTGGCATGTATGTTACTATTTGTTCCTGTTTTTTCCAAACATCACACAGCCCATTCCCATGCTATGAATACCTTTGCATATACAATCAAATTGATGACTGGTATGGAATCATGCTTCTGCTACTACCTTGCTATAAAAGTAACATTTTACAAATAAACATGAAAGATAATAGTTCCATTTTACTAATATTATATTTATCATATTCTATCTTAGTTTTGCAGATGATGATATTCAATGATAATGAGATTTAATATTTACTAATGTTATATAAAGATAAATTGGTGGCAAGTCATATGGACTTGTACACAATATGATGCATTGTATTTCTTAATACTGACTATCCAGGCACCTGTACATGATGCATCTGATTAGAATCCTATCTAGGTAAGTTGATGAACCAAATACTTCCTTTTCCTGGTGAGAATAGCTATTTAATTACATTAGCTATACCAAACAGTACTATATCAACCCAAGTAATTCTAATGGTGGCAGCCTCCATCTCTCTCTCATATAGTTAAGGATTCTCATTTGAGGAATCCTTTAGCTATCAAATCCTAATTAGTTCTTTATTTGTATAACTATTTTTAGTAACAATGTAGTTAGCATATTCTTAGTTTTGCAGATGATGATATAATACTGAAATAAAATATTCATTAATGTTGGGAAGATGTCACCAAGAGGAAAGGAAATGGGACTTAACTCAGAAAGGAATGAATTCAGATCCCCTTCATAGAGTACGACTTCCCTATTTATAGAAGTGAGTTAGCAAGCTATGCTGCATGAAGCAGGAATTTTAAATGGAAGGTATTGTCGAAGCAAGGCTATTTAAATTCAAAATTCCTGCTAGGATGGAAGTTGTAATGTTAGTAACTTAAGAACTTTCTTTGTTTACAAAGGAGTCTGTGTATGTGATGGATTAACAACAACACATGTATTTAGTGTGGGGACGAGGGAGAAGATGACGTCGAAGGAAAGCTTCCTGCCGGTGACAAATTGGAGGATGATAATGGTTGTGGAAAAGAAAAGGTTTCTGTTGGAAGAAGTCGGAGGAGGTTCTGCAATTAAAATTAGAGAAATAAGAGATCTGTTGTAGTCTTGGGGAGGGAAGCAGTCTGTTGGTTTAAAGGTTTCCTGAACAATTTTTGCTGGCACAGAGCCTGGATGGAAAGGAGAATTGGTGAAAGGTGAAAGAATGGTAGGATCCATCTAATGGACGCCAAAAGGTTGCGGAATGGGTGGGCGAATTTAAAAAATTTTCCTACCTTCTCCCAACTGGGAATCATATTCCCTAAATTTAGAATACTATATTCAAGGATCTTACTTGAACCATAATTGAACCGGATCTGAACCAAAAAGCAAAAGGGAGGA